AAGTATAACAAAATGCAGACACACATGGGCTACAAATATATTTATGTTATTGTGAGGAACACTAATCCCAGGCCTCTATAGTATGAAAAACTCTCCACTGTATGAATAATGTGTATTTGGCAATATTGGTGTAGGACCTGAGGGGATGGGTTGTTGTCTGGGGGCTTTAGGGCTGGCACAGGCTCCAGGCAAACCCCACGTTTGTGTAGTCATTGAGCCTGCTCTGCTGACAGCTTTCCCTGGCAGTCAGCAGCCAGGAGCTGCCAAGGAGTTTGCCATGAGCATGATTCATCATTGCCCAAAGGTGCCTGAACACACCTTCTGCTGCTCCTGCTCCAGAACAGGTGGAGTGAGATTTCCAAGTGATAACGAGTGACGCTGGCAAAAATGGCTGAGTAACACTGAAAGCCCCTGGAGCGATGGGGGAGCTGAGGTCATCGGCACTACTGATCCTGCCTCCTCAGGAAAGCTGCTCTGGATCCACTTTTAATGTGAATAAGTGAAAAAGCATTAAACATCCATGCCCTGGATAGTTGGGTGGCATTTAAAGGCCTGCTGATTGCTTTAGCTCCCCTTCAGAAGTGAAGCAAGCTACTTCAACAGCTTTGCTGTGCAGAGCCTGGGCCCAGCTGTGTCCAGGTGGTCACTGTGTCCACAGGCTGTGGGGAGGCCCAGATCCCTGTGACCCATCTCAGGCAGCAATGGTCAAAGGTGACACCACAGCTCCTTCCTGGCCTGGGATCCATGGACAAATGGACCTGGATCCATGGACATGTCCCCGCTACAGAGCAACACTCCAGGGAAAGGCAGGCTGGGCAGGAGAGCTGCCTCAATCATCACCTCTCAATCCAGGGCAGTTTAGAGCCTTCCAGCCCCTCTGAGGTCACAACTCAGGGGATTGTCCAGGCAAAGCAGGAATGGGCACACCTGCCTCACAGTCCTACGGGGACTTTGGAAACTGCCAGCCCTGTGCCAATGGGAAGCACAGGACAGAAGGGAAAGGGGCCAATTAAGAAGCCAGGCTACCTCTGGGTTGCTCAGGGCACACTGAACAGATGATGGCATCGCTGGAAGCTGCATTTGCTTTTAATTGTCCTCATTCCACTGAATAACTAATTCTCTCCTCCTCCCACACAACAGAAAAGAAAAAAAAAAAAAAAGCAAGCATGGGATTTTTGGAAAGGATGAGTTGACTCAATTCCTTTCATCAAGCACATGACAGCAAGCTGCAGTTTTTAGCTTTGCATCCAGGCAAGTTTAGAATATTGCTGCATGCATTTGTTTTGTTTCAAATCTTCTGGGATCAGCTAAAAATATTATTTTGGAGAGATGTAGATATGGAAGCACTGAAGGCTTCATGTTCATCCAGCTCTGAAACTGCAGCCAACCAAAGGGAATGATGGGTAGATCCCAAGTGTAAGATGGTTTTATTGAGAAGTTATTTTACAGAGAGCTGGGAGGCACTTGGAATCTGAGCATGATCCAGGGAAAGAAGTGGATCCCTTCAGCCCAGAGTGTTTCCCAAGATCCCAGTAAAGCCGTTGCTCTTCCCTCATGCTTGACCAGCTCATTTTCCAGGACAGACTGAAGGGAAACCCTATTTAGGCTGAAAACTAGGTAACCAAAAAAACCTCAAAATACATTTTGCAGGTCCTGGGTCCAACCAACATAGACCAATGCATTAAAATTCACATATTTTAATAGAATCACTTAAAGAAAGGCATAATCACAAGAAACACGACTTAAAAACTTTCAGATAAAATATTTGCAGAGAAAAGTGAAATTAATTTTTTTTCTTCAGGGGATGTTGAAACCGAAACAAATATAAGGGTCAAGACAATTGTATAAATAAGCAGACAGGTAATTTTGGGAGTGAGTAGCAAAGAAAACAGACATAAAGAAGCTTTTCCCACTGGTTTAACTGTATTTAACCACACTTAAATCTGACTGACAACATGAACTATCATGTTCTCCTTCCTCTCTCTGTGCTGCTCACGCTCCATGCAGCGCTCCCAGGGTATCCTCAGGAGTCCATGTGCCATGCCAGGGCTGGAAAAGGGGAAGGCTTTTCAGGAGACCTTTCCACTACAAAAAGGAAAAATAGACCATCCTGGCATGTGTTTGAACTCCAAGGAACTTCACTCTCATTGTTTTTCAGGAAGGCAGCAGATCTCCCATGGCCATCTCAGCACAGAACTGGTACTACAGACGTAGGCAAGGTGGAGGAAGGAAGTCAGAGCAGATTAATAATTTACTCCTGCCTCAGAGCTGTTTAGTGGTCCTAAATCAAAATAAAAGCATTACAATATTGCAGGTATTGCCAAATTGCAGAGAAGTTGTCTTTGCACCAGGAAAGTCCTTCTTTGAGTTGATCTTGAGGTCATTTGCACTCCCATGAAATATCTCAGCCCCCTGCACTGGAGCAATGGGCTCTCTGCAGGGCTGGCAGAACCCAGGATTTGCTGGTGCTTTGCTGCTGCCACAAACATATCCCCACCAGCAGAGCCAGGCAAACACCACAGCCAGCCAACAGTGATGCTGGTGCTGGTTCCCATCCCTCCTGCCAGCCCTGCAAGAGGGACAGTAGGACAAGGGCTGGGAGCTGGGCACAATAGCAACAAACCCAAGAGTGGCAGCGAGTGGGCAGGGAGCTCCTGCCTGCCAGAGCTGGCACTTTGCCTCTGGTTACTCATCCTCCCTGGAGCTCAGCCTCGAGGAATGCAGCCCCAGGCAACGCATTCCTGATCCCACAAGGGCTTGTGCTGGGCAAGGCAAGCAGGACCCGCTTCTGCAGGCACCTGCTCACTGTGACTGAGGAATGGCTGTATTGCCAGGGCTGGGAGGCACAGGGAGCATGGGCAGCAGCAGCTCAGGGGGGTCCAAGGCAGGCACATAAAGATTCAGGCACTGGGCTTTACAGCTAATGCCATTCCCTAAGGCTGCACTGATCCCAGCCTCATGTGTGTGTGAGGCCACAGGTCCTGCTGCAGTTCCCAGAGGCTGGGTTTGGCATGGCTGCTCTCACAGAGGCACCTGAGCCTTCAGGGAATAAAAGCCCATTTTTTCTGCTCTTTATATCTGTCCCCTTTTGCTTTCAGATATGGAACCAGACCAAGAACCAGCAGAGCTGAAGGTGCTGGCTGCTCTTGCTGCAGTAGCACCCATTGGTGTTTCCCCACTGGAATACATGAGGAGGAAGAAGAGGATACTGCCTCCCAACAGCACAGTGATGTAGAGCTGTTCTCCAGGAGGAAACAGGAGCCTGAGCTCCTGCTGCTGCCCTGAAAGCAGCACCTGGGCAGGGGCAGGATTGCTGCTGCCCTTGCAGAGGCCACACTTGCCAAGGAGTCCCTGGTCCAAGTCACAGGAACCATCACAGCTCCTGCAGAGATGCTTTCCCAGGTCTTCTTTACAGTATGCACAACACTGCGGGTAAAAGTGATCTGCCACAGTCACAAAGGAGCCTTAGAAACTGCATTTCTAGGATGATCACAGCCCTTATGTTAAAGCCAAGTGCTACAATTAAAAATAGACGAGCTCTACCAGTGTTTTTACAGAAAGGGATGAGCCAAGACAAGGACCACAAAATCTGGTCTAATTCAACAGCAACCAGGCCTAATCCAGGCTGAAAGACAGCATGCAAGTAGCTGTAGGCACCAGGGTAGATTTATATTGCAAAACTGAAAATTTATTTTTAGAATTGAGCCTGGAAAGTGTCACTTCAGGAGGAGATCAAGCATGTCATGGCAGGATCATTATGGGATTTGCAGAGCACCTTCCAACACAGGAGTCTCCTGAGGTGACTTCATGTTTAACTTTCCAGAAGACCAGGCTCATTGCTGCAGGTGTAACAAGGGCAGCACAGCTGGGATGGGAAAGCCTCATCCCCAGCCTGCACCAGGCTGCTCAAGGCCACACCAGGCACTCCTGGGGCTGCTCCATCCCAGTGGCCAAGGCAGCAAAGCAACCAGAGCACTTCATTCTCCCCCGGAAAGCCACAGCAACCTCCCTGTCTATGCTCCTGCCAGCACCCAGTGCTGCCCCACTTCTGCTTTGGGGAAAAAACACCAAAACAAAAAGGGCTTTATTAGCCAGCTGCTGCTTTCTGGCAGTGTTAAATCCATGCAATCTCCTACAGCTGAAAGGGAAATTAGTTCATTAAATCACCTGCTTTACACATTGCACTGCCCAGATCAGGGCAGCCACACACAAACCAGAAAACTGGCTGCTCATATCCAAAGGCACTTCTGCAGAGCTTCTCTGAACTTTAAGGCTAGAAAAGTACCCACACTTAATGTCATTTTCCGATTGATTCCCTTACACCTGCAGTGGTATCCCAGGGAACAGTCCTGTCCCATCTGCTGCTTGCATCACCATTGCTCCTTGCCAGTCCAGCAAACCTTTAAAAGCAGGTGAAGGCCACAGATCTCACCTGGGGCTGCAAAGGGCTACTTTAGGCTGTCACAAGTGGAGCTGAGATAGTCTAAAACCAGCAAGGTGCCACCTCTTGCAGCACAAAATTTGTTCAAAAGGATTGGCCTTAAAGTTCAGAGTGCTTCAGTCATCTGTTTGAGTACTTTTAATCTGAAATTCACTTTACCATTTACAGAGGACTACTGCAATCATTTATCAAAGATCAGAAGCCTGGGGGTACTCAAACAGGGTACCAGAGTTAGGGATGCTGTTGTTGGTGATGGAACTTGCTCTTCAAACTACTCAACCATTGCTATTCTGCCTTTGACAGTGGGATTTCCCTGTCTCAAGTGTTTGAATGTCCCTGTTCCACCCTTCTAAAAATGGGATTAAACAAGTCCAACTTGGGTGAAGAAAAGTACAAACCAGGCAGAAAGTGGGGCAGACTGAAGAGTGACCTTAGCCTAACACTTCCCAGAGACACAGCCAGTTCTGCTCAGATACCTTTGTCTGGGATGGTTTTTTTTTTGCAGGGGGTGAGGAGTGGGGTAGAGAAGTACAGTGTAACCATAATGGGGTAGGGCTTTAACAAGGGCTGCATGTGGGGCATGAGCCCCTCCTCTTCCCCTCTGCAGTTAGGTGTGCCTGTACCCAAGTGCACCCCTGGCTCTGCCTCCAGCTGGGCCTCCAAGAGCACTTCCCATATTCCTCCTACCATCCTGTGCTCCATCTGTGCTCACAGTTCAGCTCTGTGTTACTCATACTGCTTTGTAGCTTTCATCATGTTCTTTTCTGGTTTTTCATGTTCCTGTAGTCAACAAGATCAGGACCAGAGAAATGTCAATTAGACTTTGTGGAAGACACAATCAAGAGCTCTTTGTCATTTTAAAATTTAGTTCAGTTTTTGCTTACATTTCAGTATCTGTAACTTACTCATTTAAGTGTGTCATTTAAACAGCAATCTCACCTTTAACACAGAGTTAAATATAAAACACATTGAGAGGACACATCTGAAAGGAGCCATTCAAAGCCATTACCAGGGAAAACATCCAAAGTCTTTACAGCTGCTGCTTCTCTGTGCTCTTAATCCATATGTGCAGAACAGAGGGACACCTGAGGTGACAACAGAAGGGCCATCTCCAGCCCTTTCCCATCTCTTGAAAACAAAGCCACAATCCCAGAATTTCTGGTTTTGAAAAGTGTTTACTCACGTAGTTTAAATAAATTAATTTGCAAATAAAAATTAAAACTACAGTATACTATAGTTTGAATAAGATGATTAGAACAACTACAATACAGGGATTTCTTGCTGCATAAGTTTCATGACTTAATGCATATAATCTGGAAAATGTCAAAATCAGTTATATTTCTATGGAAAGGGAGTAACAGCAGTTACTTGTACATGACAGCTAACTGAACTTATAGTACAGGTTTCCTGACACATGCATTTCCTGAGTGAACCAAACAATATATATAATTTCTTTTTAAAAATGGAGAAATAATTGACAGTCAAAGTAAGTAATTCATGACATCTAAGCAACACAGGTCTCTTTAAACAAAGAAAATTTTAGAAGAGCTTCAAAGAAAAACAAAAGCTTTGCTATAAAGTACAGAAATTTTCTTACTGTCAATTATACAGTACATATTTGAAAAAAATGTACGAAGCTGGCCAAAAAAGCTCAAATCAATGCTAAAAAGGTCAGGCTGCCATGAAGCACAGTGGGCTGGCAGCAGAGCTGCATGTAGTACACTGGTCTTTTCTGGTGGATCCAGAGGGGAAGGAGGGGGAGAAGAGGAGAGCAGAGACCAGAGAAAGCAGAGCCCACAGCAGCATCTCCCAGTGAGGGTCTGAGCCCAGCCCAGCTCTCCCAACAGACTGCCAGCTGTGCCCAGCTGCCCAAGGATGCAGGGACTCCTCCCCTGACTACCAGGCTCCACCTCTGTCCCACCTGTGGCCCAGATGAACATCTGCACCTGGCAGAGGGGCAAAGGCCAGGCCTGAGGCCTCCCCACCAGTCAGCAGGTGGAAGGCTGCTGAGCATCCAGCTGACAAACCCCTCTCAGGCTGGGACTGTGGCCAAGTCACAAACTGCTCCCCACACACATGCCCAGGTGCATCCACCTCTCCCCTGTGCCCACCCCCAAACAGCAAGGAACAGAACAAGCCTCATCTTTCTGATCTGTTCATGTTTAACATTGGAAAAACCCTCACAAATGTCACTAATGCTAAATAAAGAGAAGTGTTAGCGTGAAGGGAGAAAAAAATCCTTAATCTAGACTAAGTTGCATATTCGAAGAGTCTGGTAAATATTCTCCTCATAACCAGATCTTAAGTACAGTCCTACCAAAAAGACATTTTAAGGAGTCCTTCTTAGCTACCTTTCAACACGGTTAAAGCACAACTTTATGCCATCATAATTTGCATTAGCTTTGTTTAAAAAGCATTTTAACTATTCTAAGAACTCAGTATTTTAGATTAAAAGATTTTTCTACCATTTTCATCCCACGTTCTTCTCCATCCAGAACTACTCTACACATCCAATTGCTGGATGTAACACACTATGACCATACTACTCTCTAAACATTCTAAATATTTTCAATAATAAAGATAAATAGAAAAGAGTTAATATACATGTTATATTTTACAATGTTCGCATCCAAGCTGTAAACCAATGTTCTTTGAACTATTTACCCTCCATATACAAAAAGAATGAAACACCTTTCAAACACTGTGGGCATGTGATTCAAAAACCATTACACTGAAGGCATTGAAGTTCACTCTACAACATTTCCTTCACCTCTTCAGAAGTAGTTATTAACCAAAAAAAGCAAGAGGTCTCCCCATTCTCCCCCCATTTCTTCTATTTCCAGACTTTTCACAATAAAGAGGGATTTAGCTGTTGTAACAAAAAAACCAAAAAATTCTTCATCTTAATGCAAACCAGCAAAGCCCAGAGAATACGAAAAACAGTCGGTTTAAAAATGAGAATCGCTTAGCTTATCAGTTTACTGCAGTCCTCGGGAACACCTGTGTTAGTCAAGAGGCCCTTGGAAAATGAGCCTGATGTAACCCTGCTCACCAGCCAGCTGATGCGCGCAGAAGGGACAGGCCGCGTGAAAAGTGTGAGTACCGTGAGGAAGAGGAATTTGGGACCAATATGCAGTTGTCTTTTCTGAGCACACGTGTCCACAGGGGCTGAACGCGTGAGTGGGAGGTCCGGCATCCACGTAAAACCCCGCCTCGCAGCCGAGCCACAGCGGCACGTAGGGGCCGACGGAGCGGCACATGGGGCACTCGCGGTCCTTGCCGTCCCTCTCCTCTTTGTTCCCCCAGTTGTGGTAGCCGTGCACGTGGCCGCAGTTCAGGTACACCCACGGCTGCTTCTCGTCTACAACATCTTTTCTCTTCATGCTGGGGAAGGCCAGGGTGTTGAAGCCCACGGGGCACTGGGGCCTGGCCGCGTTGATCTCCTGCCTCAGAGCCTCCAGGTGCTTGACGGTGGGCGTGCGCGCCAGCCCCTCGGCCGTGCGCCACAGCAGCGTCGCCCCGCACAGGTCGATCAGGGAGCCGTCCTGCAGCTGGTTCGTCTCGTTCTCAACCTGGACAGGGACACAGACACGGACGGCCGTCACCTCAGGGGCTCTGAAGAGTAACAATGTGCACTTCCACAACACTAATCTGCCTGGAAGACCCATCAAAGTTTCAAGCAGGTTCTGACTGTGTCCCCAAGACACCCATAGAGAGCCCAGTATCAGCTTCTCTCTGCCCTCCTTTTTTTGGAAAAACCCCACCCTAACATCTTAAGAGATTAAAGTGTGCATTAAAAGAGACCACACTGAGTCAAGGAAAGCTCCTCTCCCATCTCAACAACTCTGTATTCCATCCCTATAGCACTCTCAACTATGTTACTTGAAATGCCTCAAGGAGTACCACAAGACTGTTTAGTCCTCCATCATATTTTAGACTTCTCTTAAAACACCCCTTTACACATGGCTTTCCTCTCCTCCCATCAGCACTCCTAGCTAAACACACTCTTTAAAATGTTCAATGTAGCATTTCTTTTTGCTGAAACATCCCAAGCCATACTGAACCCAAATATCTCCTGGAAATATCACCAATGCTTTGCAAACAAAAGAAGAGGGAAAACTCAGAATGCTAACGTGGAAATGAATCCAATAAAATTATTTCTATTTTCATCATTCTTTTAAAAAGGAAAAGTGGCAAAAGCATAAACTAACAGGGGAGAATCAGGAAAATACTTGTAGAATGTGCAGGAGAGCTTGCAGAAATACAGAGTAGACTGGAAACTCAGTTTAGGAGAGCAGCCTACATGTGCAATTAAGTACTAGTTTGCAGATAAACTCAGTTGTTCATGTTGATCAAGACACCTCTGTGCACCCAGACAAACATATAAGAGGCAGTGTAACTAATTGCAGGGGTGACAACTACATGGAATTCCAGCAGATTCCAGCTCTATGCCCAAACTATACTCCTAATGGCTGCACCATTTTAAACAGGTTGCATAAAACACTGGTCACTCCTCTCACCATTTTCCCCCTCTGTTGAGCTGATCTGGTTTCACGGAGGCTGAAGACATTCCCACACACAGAAATCTCTCTCCACACCCCTGGCTTGGAGTCTTCTGTGAATCCATTACGAGGATGCATAACAAGAACTCCATTTGTTGTTAGTCCATCCATTTGCCCATCTGATGTCTTCCACTTTGCAGCTTTCTCCTAAAAGAAATCACATCAATGAGCACCTTTGATTTGGCTGGAGTTATGAATTATTTTTAAAAAATAAATGTGCAATGAACTTTCAGTGGAAAAAAGAAAGAATTCTCTTACCCCAAGAAAAATGTTTTTTGAGGAGTCAAATCCTGCAGCATATATTCTTGCTGTAAATGGAGGGTTACGTTCACATATGATTCTGCAGGCAAACCTTGATATTGTGCTCTGCACAGACTGTGTATCTGAATTACTCTGACTCCCAGGAACTGTATCTGTTACTACAAAGTCTATAGGGCTCTCTGTTGACCGACCAATCTGGAAAAGCATTGAAAAAAAAACTGGTCAGAAGTTTGTCTTTGGGTCTAGGACTATTCAAATTCAAAGAAAGTAAAAGCAATGATACAAAAATCATTACATTACAGTTTAAAGCATTCCTGTCCACCAGTCTACCAATTTAGGTTTATAAAGCTGCATCTGAATTGATGAATTTTTCTGCCTCCAAATGATCAAAGTTATTCTGAAAGCTGGGTACAGCCAAATGAAGGAAGGAGAAATAAAATGATGCTATTAAGTCAGTTCTGAGATTATTTCCCATTGAAGGCCTTTTTATCACAGAGGTTACACTCAGGTCAGGCAGACCAGCTGCAGGAGCACCAGAAGAGCCAGGGAACAGCAGTTAGAGGGAAGAACAGTGACATGCAGTCACTTTGCATGCCCAGAACACTCTGAACAGTGCCAGACTAAGTCAAGGTATAGATGTATGAAAATCAGATTATGTGAGCTGTCTCTTCAGCTCTGGTGGGCACTGAGAAGGAGCAAACCTTTTGTCAAAGACCAGGCACCAGGTGGTTGTGGCGGACAGGGGCTACATTTACACACTCAGAACACAAGAATGGAACATCTGACTACAATCAGGTTTTGCTGGTAGCTGCATCTCCTTTTCTGGCTGCAGGGGACTGTGAGTCTTGCAGTCACATACAACTGAGTTTGCTGGAACTGCATAGGTATCCCTGCTTTTCCAGTCAACTCATCTTGTGCTTTTCCTTGCAAAGAGGAAAAGCAATAACCCTTTCCCAAACATCCATCCACCTCTTACACACTACTACTCACTCATTTCCAGAGCTCTCAGGCTCTTTGAAAATAGGTGATTATATTAAGACTGATTGACTGCTGAGCAAGAGACCCAAAAGCTTGAGGTGCTTTTTGTTGAGGGCTGGAGTGCTTTCATGAGACTAAAACTGCTTTGTCAGAATCTATTTTTCTACTGCTTCCTAGGCAGGATAACCCATGACTACACAGGGAGTGCCAGGGGCAATTTCAGAGCAGCACACATGCCAGAGCATGCCTGAAGAGAGAACACTCACACAAACAATAGCTTATGCTGCAGTGATTTCATTACAGTCCTTTTGCTCTTGTTGTATTTGCAGTTGCAAAGCAGCTTCCTCCACCACTTCCCAACACCTCCCACCTCCTTAGATCCTGCAGTGGCGTCACAGCTAAATGCTGTGACAGCAAAACTCCTTGCTGTAAACTAGTGGCAACAATGAGGGGGAAAGAAACTACACAAGATCACAGTCTGGGAATCAGAGAGAACAAAGCCCACATTAAAAAGAACCCCAAAACAAACCCCTTCCGTTTGAGAAAAACAGGAAACAATTAAAAGATATGAGGGCACACCACAGCTGCAGATGTGTTTGTGGCCCCTTCTCATACACACAGGAACTGCAGCAAAGTTGTTCTGAACTGCCAGCATCAGCACTGAAGGCTCCTCTCTTCACATCTCCCAGTACTTTAGACATTTCTGGGTTTGCTTAAAAAAGTTCAGAGTATTTTTCATATTAGTTGTGCCAAAAGCTTTCCTGTGTTTCCACATTGCATTTCTTCTACCCTGTCTCCAACTGGCTGATCCCAAATCCCTTTGTAAATGCCAGAAGCAAAGTTCTAAGTTCTTGAAGAGAAAGGTGCCCTTTATTCTTCATTTTGCAAGGAGGGACTAGGAAACAGATTATGTGACTTGCAGGCCAGCAAAGGCAAAACCATAATCTTGTGCATTAGTCACAAAATCCCCCAGCTTTCACCTTTGCCCAAGTCTTTTAAAAAACAGATGCACAGACACAGAGCCTTGTTCACAGGATGGCCTTGGGAATGAACTGAATTAAATTGCTCTGAATGGTGAGTGCAGAAACTGACACACAAACTTTTCTGGGTCTGAGAGAAAAATCCTGCTGAGAGGATGCCTTGTTTGAAACTACCAAAAATGAGAACACACACATTTACTTCACGTACCTGGAACATATCTGTGTTGCTGTCATGAGTATATTCAACTACTACAGTCTGGGCCCGAGACAAAGTGTAAGATATGCTGTGTTGGTCCTTATTACTTATTGCCTGTGGAAAAATGCCAAATGTTACTGAACCAGTGCACAGTAATTCTACAGAATAGAGCAGCAAAGCAGACAATACACACACACACACACATATATATATATATAACATCAGCCTCTTCTACTAATTAAGAAATTAGGGCAGACGGTTGCTAATGACACACCTAAAGTTAAACTTCACAAAACCCAGTCTTGGCCACTATAAAAAAGCTGCAGGATTGATTCAGCAACAGACCAAACTAGTCTCTTCACCACATGCTGCAACTAAATAAACATAACCAGGGCATATTATTAGTCATGTTTTGTGTTAAAGCAACACTGGCCTGAACACAAAAGGACAAACCAACCAAATGCAAAGGCTAAAACTTAATGTAACACCTTCATGGCCATCTCAGAGAGAATTTGGCCAACAGCAAAGCAAGGACTTCACTCAGGAATTCATTCTAAAACCAGGATTTGAGTTAATACTAAGATCAGTAATGACTGATTTAAGATGCATAGACAAAAAAGTGGTGGTAAATAGGGCAAAATGGAGAAACTCAACATAGGTTGCAGAAGTTGTAGCAAAGGTTTCACTTGTTTAGTCTAGATGTTCTTTCTGCAATTACCTACTAGGGAACTAACCAACACTTCTAAAAGTGCTGCCAAACAGCACCTACCAGACCATAAAGAATTTACAAAAATAAATGTTCTTTTCATAGATCTACTATGAATGTAGTTCTACTACAAGAATTTTGGTAGAAAAAATGCTTCTGAATTCAGAATACTTTATACCATTCCCTGAATTCAAGGTCAATACCTTAAGTGTCAAGGTATTCTGGGAGTCAAGCACTTAACACTACTGCGTTTGTTTAAAGGCCTGATCTTGTCACTGGCAGTTTCTAAACAACCACTAAGCATCCTCAAATTCCATTGTTTAGTAGAAATGCTCCATTATTGCACACACACTTGAACAGCCACAATATTTCATGGTAATACCTTAGGTATGATGTATTAGTTTTGGCATACACTGTTGAAATACAGTTCAACTTCAGGGCCTAAGCCCTTCCTTTTCTGCTTCTTAGAGGAAACTCTGATTACAAGCCCTATGAAACACACCCTGCAAAACCCACCTGTGCTGACCCCTGGGGAACTCCTACCCACTGGATGGAGCGCCAAGTGCATGTGGAGCTTTGGCAAGGATCATTTAAAAGTCAGCTTCATGTGAAGCAAAGTTAGTCCTAAAGCAGAGTGAGTACAAAACCACAAAGTCAAGAACAGCTGACTAGCCTGTGCCCAGAACATTCATGTTTCAAAACTAATTTTTTTTTCCTGGCTATAGCAAGGACTATGTACTGCATCTTCTTTGCTGAATTGTTTCTTGCTAATGCTGACAGGTACTAAAAAACTTTGGATAAACAAACCATTCTTTTCACAGCCAGATATTTATGCTGTTTAAACCATTTCCTAACAGCTCTTTATATGGCACAAGGAGAAATCAGACAGACATGAGGGGAGAAATGGAGTTACCTTTGCTGCTTGAGGGGTACAGGCAATGTGCACAGTGCTGGGTTTCACCCCATTTGCCTTGGGCCTTTTAAATAAAGCAAACCTACTTTTCCTTCTCCCTCTATCTCCATTTGGGAGAGACCCATTGTACCTGCCAAAAAGCACAGAAAAAGAACAAAGTCCATCATTCCTGTATTGCTTAGTTTCTCATGACATACGGACCCACAAGAACTTTCAATCTAAGCACCAAGTATTCTCAATTAGTATAGTGTTACTAATTGCAGATTTTCAATTAATCACATTTAAATCCAAGAACTGATTAATACAGTACTGAAACATGTCCACAGGACTACAGCATAGAAAACCCTCAGACTCTTACACACTTACCCCAGTACGATCAATTCACCATATTTGACTGGTGCTTTGGATGGATGATTTTCTTGATCAGGAGAAAACATGAGCTTAGCTAAAGACTTCTCAAACTTCAGGTCGCTGATCAAGAGTTGTGGCACACTTTTTTCATTATTTCCTGTTAAAATAAAACCAAAATTAAGTGTAAGAGAAAATATTCTACTCCAATAACACACACTTGCACACTAATATGATACTGTAGGTACAATATTATGTGTTTTCCATGTCTTGACTTTGCCTGAAATAATTTTTAAAAACACATATATAAAACCACATGAATTAAGGCTGAATTGCCTTGAAGAATTGCAAGATCACAAAAAAAAATGCATTTAGAAAATTTTTAGAAAATTCCACTATGGCCTTAAGACATCCACACTTGTTTTCCTCCATGTCAGTTTTTAGAATAAATGATACATAGCTTCATTTATTATATTTCGTTAAGCTGTTGAGAAATAGAGCCAGATAAGCATTAAAGAAAAAAATACAAACCCACAAAGCAAGACCAACCCATGAGCAAAAGTTTTCATGTGAAGTGTCTAATTCAGAGCTTTCTAAGAAGTTTCTGCATTTGCAGATGGAAGGAAGTTGTATGACAATTTGATAAAAAGCCTGCCATAAAAGTTAATGATATGTATTGTGATTGCTCATGTTTGGCCAGAGCCAGAAGTGATATAAACATCTGTTTGAAGGAGGTTTCCTGAGGGAATTCCATGTAACTCCTAATGGAAACAGTCCTGAAGTGCATTTTTTACTCAGACTTCTGCTTTGAGGAACAGTTCATATTGTATTTTTTACAGCTTCTCATTAGTAGCATTTCCAGACACTTTCGACCTATGCAGCTCATCTCTGACCTTCCTCTAGAGACAGCCTACCAAGCAGAGCACTTGCTTGATAAAGAATAAAGCTGATGAGAGCCTGTTTGAGGCTTTCTTTAACAGAAATAGGAACATTCCCTTGGTCCTTCCAGGTGAGTTTTCATACCAACTCAAAGAGCTGCTAATATTTTTTAACACTGATGGTGACATTCTGCCTTCTGTGCAAATGCACTTTTTGACCCACACAGCACTTTTTAAATCCTGTCATCAACTTTGATCACAACTACAGTGCTGTATCTCCACTTTCTTCTACCTTGACTAGACCATGGCTATTAGCAGAAAAGATGTCATCATGCAGATATTATCTATCCCCATGTTATGTCGCAAGAACAGAGACAAAGATGTGGCAGCGCTTGACAGCCTGTTCACAATTGTTCAGCAGCTGATGCAAAGATCCCTTTACTGACCTTATCTCTCCCAGTCTTTGCTCCTTCACAGAGAAGCTTGGCTTTCAACATGTTTTCTCAAATCTACAAGTTCCTATTCAGCATGCATACGTTGATTGCCATCTGCAATCAGCTCACAGTGTAGGAGATTTCACAGTGCTTGAAACAAGTTAACTGCAGCCCGTCTTTGTGGCTAGCACACACAATATAACCACAACAGCACCCTGACCCACTGGGAGACGAGTGCATTGCACAAACCTGATTTGCTCAGCACTGCTGTGAAGTGTCTGTGTCCCATCTCCAGAACAGTGACACCAAGCTCTCTCTGCTGCCTGGGAAGCAGCGAGCACTTTCACTCAGCAGCTGTCCTGCTCATGCCTCAGGGTACCCATCACTCAGCTGGTGCTGAAAGTGCATTTTGCTGCTCCAGCAGTCTCCCTCTGTCCCACAGGAACAGTGGCACTGGCACTGCTCACTGTTGACTGAGAGAGTCAAGGAATAGAGTTTGCTCAAAGCCCTTCTGGATTGCTGACCCAAGCGCAGCAGTAACTCCCCAGGGATTGTGAGGTTACTCACTGTTGTAGGTTTGGCCTTTAGAATTCTAAAATGAAGACATTAAAGCAAACTTATCCCATGAAAATGTGACCTTAAATGATGTCACAACACAACACATTGAAGTGGAGATTGCCCCCTTTGATAAAGAGAGCCCCACAACATTAACTGTGTTCACAATTTTCATGTCTTTCAGGGCCCTCCTTACCTCCTGGCATCACACCCCACTTTGGAGCAAAGCGCCACACTCAAACCATGTGCCTGTGAACACACCTCAGGGCTGCTTTGCTGACATTGATATCGAACCACACAGATCCTAGTGCTTAATAGTGCTCAGTTCCTCAGACACATTTCCCTTCTGAAGTATTTCTACTTTCTTCATGATTTATCTGTATATAAAAATGTATTTTCTATGAAGTATTTTTACAATCAACTTCAGCATTTCTTGTTTTATTTTAAGATCTTCTTGCATTATACTTGCTTGTACAGGTGTCTTCTGAGAGATCTCATCTTCTCATCTCCTCCCCACATGATTAACCTATTTACTACTTGTATATTGATCTCCTGAACAGCCTCCCCCCTGCAACTCAGTCTTCTTCACATGCAACTAATTTCATCTTGGCCAACACTTGTCCTCTGCCTTCACATTTAAAAACTCACAAGAAATACTGCCATGAAACTACAGCAGTGCCTATAAGGAACCAGCATAGAACTAAGAAACATCATGCCACAATAACCAAAGATTTAAATAGTACAACCCCACATTACAGTGTTAAAGAGCTAATTCTTTCACTTAGAGAAACTGGGAAGGCAAACATTAAAATAACTTAAGCCATTAGTATAAGAACAGGTTTGGTACAGCTTCTCCTCTTTTTCTGTTCATCCAAGGGAATAATTTTAATGGAAAACTAAAAAAAAACTACATGTCTGAGTAAACTTCAAAGCCTCAGGAAAATAACATGTGAACAGTTCAAGGAGACTCTGTGTTACCTGCACAAGTGACCAGAGAACTGTGCAGAAACAATAAAAGGGGGCAGCAGTTCCCAGGGACAGACTTCAGCAATACAAGGAGTTATACAGAAATTCTCAGTACAAGGAAAGATGTCCCACATCTATTGCTCAGCTCCTCCTTAAAACATTTTCTTTTGCTTTACATTTAAAGAAATCCATTCAAGTTTACTTTGCACGTGATGGAAATCCACTTCTTACTAAAGGAAGGTTTGAGTGTTAGAAATCTAGAGCCATCATTAATAACACAGCCTGCTCATTCCCTTTCAAAAGTCTGGCTGAAATGTTTGAACTTAATTTTTTTTCAAATACATCTCAGAACCTTTATGAACTCCACATAAATTTCACAACTACTACACCCCCAGATTACTTCAACTCAAAGTACATACAAGATTCAGTATTCCTAAAAAAATAATCAGTCCAACATACACACTACTTCTCATCCAGTGTGATTGGCCCAGTGCACTGCACCCAAAGGGAAAATATTTTTGTCCCCAGAAATAACAAAGCCCAATTATATCTTTCCAGTGAGGTCCTGAAGACCAGTCCAAGGGAAATTTCACGTCTGTGAATAAAACTCAAGTGCTGTCCCACTGGAGATGAGTCTAATCTGCCATGGGATAACATCTGAAATAGTGCAGGCTTATGAATCATTTAAAGCTGAGTGAAGAACTTACTTGAAGGAAAACTGTTGAGTAGAAGAAAAGGATCAACCAAAATATATAATGGGCCTTCTCTTGTAGTGTAACCTAACCAGTTTTTATTTCTAGAGTACTACTTTTCTTCAAAAAGTTAGGAAAGGCTAATTAAAAGGACAAATTGGCTCTGAAGGGCCAGTATACAGCTAAGGAATCAACTGTTTGAGCAAAATACACACAAATTACATTTTTGCTGCTTCTTGTTGCAGCATTTCCAGACATCAGGGGAACAGGCTTCATTGGAGAAAGCTCTTAACAACAGACTCTTCTAAACTCATCCAAGAACATTCAATACTGATAAGGAATAAGATGTCAATTACAAGATTCCATCTCACCCAATGTTCTTCCAAAAAATCACAGAACTGGCAGCAGCAAACATTTTGTGTCAAGATCTCTGCTTCTGCTAAAGAGAAGAGACCAAAGCCTGAAAATGCTTATCTTTGCATAGTCCTGCACCATGGACTCGAAAAGACTGAGAGCAAAGCAACTTGCATGGCTAAAGGCAAGCACAACTTTTTGCAGTTAGCCCCAAACCACAATGGGTGCCAGGCAAAATTCTTCAGTGTCAAAAATAGGAAACTGGAACAGGAAGAACTCATGCACAGGTAATATTTTTATTGTCAACACTGGTTCCTCTGGGAGCAACAGAAAGTTCAATGCTCAATACTATCACACGCAACTGTTTTGAAGGACTGGAAAGTGACAACAACTGAACTGAGAAAAGCATTTAAAATTTGTTTGAGTAATGTAAGTCTGGTTCCTGACAAGCCTTCCTGCTCTCTAGTACTCACCAAAGCCACAGAAGGCCAAGACTGCTACAGCTGAGAAAGCAAGGCACAGATTTCTGACTCCATTCCAGTAGAAGGAAAAGTCACTGTAGTCTCTCCTGCCTGATGCAAACACTGGTCCCTGCACCCAGGCTATCCCCTCCCAGACAACACTTCAGAGTAGGTGAGGTTAAGAGCTCCCTTCCCTTGAGCACATCATTTTCCATGGGGGGCAGAGACAGATGAATTTTGGTTGGTTTGGAACTATCAGCTCTAGCTTAACCAGTCATTTGCAGCCATTCAGCTGCCTTTCCTGGTCATGAGACTCACTCACAACCAGCCTTTAGTTGCTTCAGCAAGTCTTCAGATTTTGTTTGCACTAAGGCACAGCACCCTGTGAATTAAATTGGCTATTTTGTAGACCAAGTACAGCTTCTGGAATTGCAGCATCTTAATGGTTAAAATGGGGCGGGGGAGGGGAGAACATAAATTCAATGAGCCCAGGCAGAGATTCATTAAACACTCGGCTGAAAGCTAAAAATACAGGAATAAAAGTCTCTTTGTAATAAATTACCATCATTTTCTAAACACAGAGCCAGCATTATAGGCTGCTAGCAACTGCAGCTAGTGCCAGACTGGCCCTTTTCTAAAATACTGCATAGAAAACCACTTACACAGTATAGAAAGAAGTCCTCTGTCAACGAATAGATTAAAATAAAAATATGCTGATTCAGATGCAAAAAATGGGAACTTCCCCCTCCCTTTTTATAATATTATATTTATATTCTATATCTACATATTTTAAGGTTTGGATTTTTTTTTCTTTTAGAAA